ATATGCTGAAATTCACATTCAGCATACTTTTAGATTTGTATTGTTATTTGTATTACTTCATTTCTAACAGCTATTTAGTAGTTTACTATATATGCCACAGCTTACTCACTCTCTTATTCATAGACATTAAATTACATGTCTTGTACATGCCTCCTTGTAAATATAATACTTTTCTGTAAATTCTATTATCTGTTTTGTTATTTATTTGTAGAGTTTTTCTATAAATTCGACACATTAAACCTTTGTCAATTATATGTGTATCATGCCATGGCCTACACTTGTCTTTTCAAGAAAGTTTAGCATGTTTTAGAGCATACAGAACTTAAAAATTAAATGTAATCAAATGTGTCAATCTTTGCTTATTTGCCTTGTGCTTTATATCTTAAGAAATTCTTTTCCACTTTGTGGTTAAAATTTTGTTTTATGCTTACAAATAAAATTTTAAAGACTTGCTTCTCAGATTTAAATTTTTATTCTACCTGTAATTTATTTTTAGATACGGCGTAAAATAAGAATTTACTATTGCCCTGGCTGATGTTTCTCAATGGTTAGAGCAATGACTTGCACACTGAAGGGCTCATAACATGGGCTGCAGGTTCAATCCCCAGCCCTGGTAGGAACAAATGCATGAGGCAATCAATCAATGTGTCTCTCTCACATTGATGTCTCTCTCCCCCTCCCTCTCCCTCTTCTTCTCTCTCCCTGTTCCTCTCTCCCTCCCTTCCACTTTCTCTAAAAATCAATGGGAAAGATATCCTCTAGTGACAATTAAAAATAAATAAATAAATAAATGAATGAATGAATGAAGCTAATATTATTGTCCATATTGTCCATGTCCATTATTGTCCATATAATCAATTGTCCTAAAAAACCATTCATCAAATAGTCTGTTTTCCCTCCAGTGACTGTAATACCCACATACTCGAGTTGTTTTTTTTAAAATATATTTTATTGATTTTTTACAGAGATGAAGGGAGAGGGATAGAGAGTTAGAAACATCGATGAGAGAGAAACATCGATCAGCTGCCTCCTGCACACCTCCTACTGGGGATGTGCCCGCAACCAAGGTACATGCCCTTGACCAGAATCGAACCTGGGACCCTTCAGTCCGCAGGCTGACGCTCTATCCACTGAGCCAAACCGGTCAGGGCTCGAGTTTCTATATAACCAGGCAGCCATCTGAAAATTCTCCATTACTTCCTTATGACTTTTTGTCTATTACTGCCTGCTTATAGTCAACGAACCAGAAGGAAACAATGTCTTAACAGTGGGTAAGATCAGTTCCTACTTTATTATTCTTATTCAAAATTGTTTGGCTATTATTGGTCATTTGCTCATCATGTAAATTTTAAAATCAGTTTGTCAAAATACAGAGAGATGCACATACACATACATAGACATTTTCAGCTTCTATTTTTACTGAATTACGTATTCATATGCTGAGCTGTCATCAGTATGAGGATGAGTTTTCCGTTCCATAAAACAATAACAAATCATGCAACATATTTAAGTCTTCTACTTTTCAGTCAACCAATGATTCTCAACATAAAGATCATGTGCATTTTTCTTATACTTTTAAGTAGTACAAGTCTTTGTTTAAAGTTACAAATGAACTTTCTTTTATATTATACTAGCAGATCTTTATATATTGATCACATATCTAAAAACTTTGGAAAATTTTTTTATATTGGAAACTATATTTTCTTCTGCACAGGCTGTCATATCATCTGCAAATAATTTCAGTTTTGTATCATCTTTCTAATCCTTTTATTTTTTTATTTGTCTGTCTTGTTTTATTCTACTAACTTGAAACCTCTAGTTAGTGGTGTTTAAAAATAGCATTCTTACCCTTTTTCTGAATGGAAGGAACATCTTTACAATGTCCCTAACTTTAAAAAGAAGGTTTAAATATTTCACCATTAAGAACATATATATCGCCGAAACCGGTTTGGCTCAGTGGATAGAGCGTCGGTCTGCGGACTGAAAGGTCCCAGGTTCGATTCCGGTTAAGGGCATGTACCTGGGTGGCAGGCACATCCCCCGTGGGAGATGTGCAGGAGGCAGCTGGTCGATGTTTCTCTCTCATCGATGTTTCTAACTCTCTATCTCTCTCCCTTCCTCTCTGTAAAAAATCAATAAAATATATTTAAAAACTCGGGGGATGTCATATATCCTTATCATATACACCCTTATCAGTTTAAGGAGGTTCCTTTCTCCTTCAAATCTGCTAAGAACTTGTATCATAAAATAGAGGCCCGGTGCATGAATTTCGTGCATGGAAGGGTAAGGGTGCCCCTGAGCCCAGTCTGCACCCTCTCCAATCCGGGACCCCTCGGGGGATGTCATACTGCCAGATTAGGCCCGATCCCACAGGCTCTCCCCTGACAGCCTGATCACCCCTAATTGCCTCTGCCTTGGCCCCGCCACCATGGCTTTGTCCGGAAGGTCGTCCGGCAGATATCCAGTCTAATTAGCATACTACCCTTTTATTAGTATAGACTAGTGGCCTGGTGCACGAAATCTGTGCACATTGTAAGAGTATTAATTAGAGGAAATATTTTAATATTGCTATTTGCCCTTTATAATAAAAGGAAATGACTAAAATGTATCTACACTAATAAAAGACAAGGATGCTAATTGACCGTACCTTTGCTATGGCCATCAGACAAT